CTGGGCTATGAAAAAGCTCGCAGGTGCGTGAGCGCCGCCGTGGCTTTTATTGCGGCTAGTACCGACTGCCGCTTGATTATTGATTTTCGGTCGAGAGCACCGCCAACCGCCCCTTCCCTCTTGCGGGCTGGCTTGTGATCTCGGCTACAGCTGTCGCGCGACTTTATTGGGCTTGGCTGTTTTCTGGATGATAGCGCTACACCGTGGAATTCAGTATCTGATTGCAATGAGTCTTGCATACAGTCGTTGCAAAGAACGACTGAACGTCAGCCTTTTACCATGCTCTGTGATAAATTAATTGTACGTCAAAATCAATGAGGATAGGGGATAACGATTACGTGTATGGGCGCCTAAACAGGACACGGGAATAGGAACGCCCTGCCTACTTAAAATATGTGACACTGCGATAAATTTCAGGAAAGGTAAATATTCCCGTGCCTTAACTCTAACAATAACCTTGCCACAAAACTAAACTCTTGCCTTAAGCATAACCATAGCCCTAAACTTAACCCAAACCCCACACTTAACACGAAACCAAATCCTGACCCTAACGCTAACTTTGACCTTAATCCCAAACCTAATTTCCCGGAAATTGGCGCAAAGCCACATGCACTGCGGGCGGTTCATCTTCCCGTGCCTTGTTTAGAAGGCCGTAAAAGTCATTCTTACCGAGGGATTTGCTAAATTACCACGAGGAAGGCGACGTCAGTACCAGCCTAACTTGCTCCTCTCTCTCTCTCTCTTCAATGCAGCAACAGCGGTCTCTTTTCACCCCACACATACACGGCGACCAGGAGGCGGCAGAGCTAGACCGATAGTCTCCATGTGCACATAAAATCTGATCACTAAATTTACCAGGATAGATCAAAGAACATGGTTCTCGCTTCAATGAGTAGCCTGCAAAGCCGCGATAGAACTGTTAGTTTTGCAATATTGTAAAAGTTTCCTCAAACCGGAAGCAGCAAACCAAGCGCAAGCAATTTGGGAAGAAGTAGAGGGAGTTCTTACGAGGATTGGTCGAAGTTCCAAAAATTGGACATTCCGAAGATCCAATGTGGTGGCGGACGCTACGCCGAGTAGGTCCGAGTTGGGTCGAGACCTGGAGGCACTGTCGATGAACTGTAGAACGCGAGCCAGTGCTTGCAGAACCCAGCGCAGAAAGCCCTGACGAACAAAGAGGTCATGCATCTCAGAAGGCTCTGTCTGACCTAGGCTGGTTTCCTCATTAGGGTCATCGGTGCCTGTCGGCTTTCTGGCTCTTTCAGCGTCCGCCTGAGCGAACTGGACGAACCGTCTTAGGAAGAGTGGCAACATTTCCAGACGATATTCCACACACTGGTGGCTGCCTTGTCTTGAAGTGGTGAGAACCTACAAGTGGTTAGGGGTAAAGCTAGAAACTATTCAAGAATTCAAAAAGCGCAGTATGCAGCCCAGCCAGATTCGATTTAAATAAAACAGGTGGATAAATTCGGCCTAAAAAAGAAATAAAGCAGACAGTGCAGAATATGTATACTACTAACAAATAACCAATAGGTAAGGCCGCGACTGTCTATATCCTCAGAAGATGCGGTCAATGGCTTCCGCCTACACACAGAACAGCAGCCAATGGTATTACATGAGTGCTAGCAAAATGTATATGCGTTAGCCTCCGTGGACATCATCTGGTTCATAGCATGTTCTGGATAAGATAGGAGGGAGTTACTGTACGTTTTGCACTACAGGAATGAGATTTTGAGGCATCTATTATGGTCCGGTGGCAGGGTAAGGTTGAGATGAGCGAAAATAAGATTGAGTGTAGTGGCTTACCTAGCGCAAATCCTCGTCTAGGCAAGACAAACCTTATGGCACTAGCAGCACT